AATTTAAATGTTTTTATATTATTTATTAAAAGTTGTTTTAAATATATTTTTAAAAATAATTAATACAAAATGATAATACATGGGAGGTATATGTTACTTGATGAATAAATAAATAAAAATACCTCAACCAATAATTAAGTTTAGCCAAAAGGATTAAACCCGATAAAGTAATGACTTACAAGTCAAATCCCGTTTAAGCCTATACTTAGTGTTAGACTATATATCAAACAAAATTATAGGTATTTATATAATATTGAAAAAGATTGCAGAAATTATTTTTAACAAATTAATAAGTTTTATTAATAGAATGATTTATCATTTATGATTAGCTTGACTCTCACCAAAAGAACCCTTTATACATTTGAATTGATTCACGAGAGGAAAGAAAGGTAAGCGAAGTGACATAAAATTTAACGATCGGAGGAACGAAGTCATCATTTCAAAGTTAAAGAAAAAAATCAGTCAAATATCAGTGCTCGTATGTCTACCATTTTTAATGTGATTAAAGTATTGAAATTCTATTGCATTTTCATACTTTTATTAATTTTAAGTTCATAAAGCCTCTTTAATAATATTTAAAATTCTTAGCATTTATCACTGTTCATGTCCTGACTTGTCTTCAAGATTTAAAACTCGATGCCTTTGGATAATATAATTTAATTAAGCACTTATGAATTAATAAGGATACCCATATGAAACTTTATTCTTAAATTTTACTTTTAAAACTTATTAAAATAAGTTTAAAATTTCATACTTTGATAAGCTGTTCAATAAAACAAATTAAAACGAGCTTTTTAACGATAATTAATTTTATAGTTAAATAAATTACTTGTAAATTCTTCCAATAAATCAATAAGACATATATAAACTCTAATAACTAAGTAATTAATATTTTAAATATTATTAAGGAGGTAAAAAAAGTACTGCATATAAGGAGAAATGTTGAATGACAGCTTTAGTTGTTTTCTTTATTTTAGGAGGTATATTTATGGGATGCAAGCATGCACATACCCACAATTTCAAATAACAAAAAATACATAAATAAACAAAAACAATTTCAACATCAACATCTAGAGAGACGACACTTTTAGAGGAAAAACCGAATTCATGTTTGACAAGGAACTGAAATTTGTAGACGTACAACATAGTCATGTATACATATGAATATAAAGCAACCAGTTATAATTATATTAAGAGTTTTCCACGTTCAGCAACCTTGGATTTGCCCCATCTTCAGTTGCTGCAAGCAGACCTTAAATGTTACGTACAAAGACTAGAAAGTCATGGCTATAGTCAAATTAGAAGCCGAAACACTGTAGTTGAAGTGAAGCTTATGTGTCCATTACGTGCAAAGTTTTCTCAAAATAATATGGTTGAGTTGGACTCTATGGTTCATATGGTTCCCCACTAATTGGCAAATTCATGTTAGCTGAGATTCTTCATTATGCTAAAGGTGAGAAACTATAGTGTGTGCTATATATATTATATATTGTATAGATTAATATTCATAGGCTTTATATTTCTATATACATTTTTTGTATTCTGAGCCCTTTGCATTACGACACACGGTCTGTGCTCAAACAAGAAAAAGGTAAAGGCAGCAAATTTGCTTGCACATTTGAAACTGTCCAAATGGGGAAACGCTGCTTCCACACACAGTGGGATTCAGTGGCAAACTTTGTTATCTCTTCACAAATAGGTAAACATGCCTGCAATTTGAATTGGCTACTTTAAGTTTAGACTTTAACCCATTTTCAGCAACGTATTAATCTTTTGATTTGAATGTCCTCTCTAAAGAATACTTCTTAAATATGCTTTATAGGGTAATCAAAATATTCAAATGGTCTTGTTCCATAAGGGGAAAACATGAAATCCTGCTGTATGTAGTGCAAATATTTCCTATTAAGTGATGCCATCGGTAACAAAATCTATCATTTAATTAATAAGTAGAGCAAGTATATTATTGGATAATTTATTGGCACATTATAATAGTTTATTAATAATATATCTTCTTTTTTTTTTTCTCTTTTTGCAAAATATATACTTAATGCTGGTAGAATTTTTGTCTGATATTAAAGGTACATGTTTCGCTCTTAGTCTACTTTGGAAGCTGTTTCATTTTTAGCTTATATTTTTCTGGGTAGGAGTTTGATTACACGTTATATTGATATGCATAACTCGACCTTTCTGTGAGTGTTTATCTCATAATTTTTCTGGTTTCTGGTGTGTTTAAAAACAAAATAGTTTAATCAAATAGCAATTAGTTTTTATAAAATTTTTATAAGTTTGTTGTTTTCATTAAAAAACTTTCAATTCAACTATTAAATTAAAATGTTAATGCATATAAAAACTTATTCAATAAAAATTCATTGTGCAGTTGACGTCTCCGTCCATAGGAAGACTTTCATTTTTGGCTGTGTACAAATAAAAGTTCGTAAAAGTAAAACAAAATTAACTAACTTATAATGTAGCCAATCAAATGAATATCATCACAAGAATAACAATATATTAGATGAACTCATGTAGCCATCTGCAAGAATCTGATTTAAAATTTGTTTAGGTTAATCTCATTTATATTTTTAAATGCATGTAGTATTGGAAAATATAGTGAATCTTTATAAATGCACCAGGTAATAATATATGTACCAAGGCATCATACCAAAATCTTATTTCGGACTTGCTTTTGACTAGTTTGAAACATTCGTTTATGTTGAATAGTATTTGACTTTGTATTTTTACTTATTTTTTATTAGTACGACATTAGCGCAACAAACGTTTATTAGTTAGAATGATAAGGAATTTAACTTTTCTTAAATAAGATATCATGCTCGAATCTTTATAAATAAAGAAAATAGGTGTTATTAATGTCTCATTCTCCTAGATACATTCATGATTTACCCAATTCAATAGTGCTAGAACCATCAAACAAGAAGAGAGAGAGATTAACACTCATCACCCCAATAATTGAATCATATATCCAGTGTAAAAATTAATCTTATTCGTAATATAAAATGGGTATCTAATAAGAGTATTATAAAATATCATGAGAGGCAATGCAACTAGACGAATAAATTATAGATGGCCAAACAATGAATTCTTCATGAATTAAGAACAAAGAGTACACTTCAATGTCAAAGCATATAAAATATAAGTCATACATTTCAAACATACCCGTAAGAAAATCATTAAAATAAATAAAATGAACTTATGAGCAGAAGAAATAGGTAATGTTAAATGAATAAACGAGCAATTTAGGTCGTCTTACTAAAATCAGATATTATTTTCCTTATATGTATTAAATAGGCTATTTCCTAGATATATTAACAAAATTAACTATTAATTTTGTATTAAAAAAAAATTTATCAAGAGAAAAAATCATTTCGATAATTTTTGCATTCAAAAGAGATTAATCTCTAATTTTAATTAGGAATATATTTAGCAAAAAAAATTCAAAATATCATAGTGCAAAATAAAAAAAAATCCAAAGTAAAATCAATAAATCAAATTTAATTATCTTTTTCTCTTACCATGCAACTCTGTTCGTAAATAGCCAGTGTGAATCTTAATCCATCGAAACAAACTATTGATTCCAAGTTCTAGTCCTTATGGAATTAATGATTTCCTGAATGTTCCTATCTATTATTATCTTTGGTTTTTTTTCTTAAAAAAAAGTTTAGTGTTAATTATAAGAAATACAAATTCAATTTCAGATACATTAATTAATACTTTTTTGACATCTTTATTTTATCATAAAATTTGTATCGACAAAATACTCATTCGTTTTTTATTCAATCATTTAGTATTACAAAAAAATTAAAATAAACAAAAAATAAAATGAGCTCATAATTATCACCTTCACAGAAAACTTGAAGATTTGCTTCCATACTTGTTAAGAGGATCCACTCAGAAGAGAGGAACATAAAGAATTTTGGGGACTTGAGCTCACTATTTTTAGGGATAGACACACTTCTCATCATGGAGTTCTTGTTGAGTTGTTGGTTGGTACAAGTGGGGGCCCATAAAATAAAACATTGGAAAGCCCATAACTGATCAAGTCAACCACAAAAAGTAAAAGAATCTAACCCAAATTATTAAGACACTAATTGAATAGGTTCTTACTAAAAATTATCAATTACTACCTAATATAACGGTTTTTTAACGTATTCCCATAAATACATAATAATAAATTAATATTTATTTTTAAAATTTAATATTTAATGTTATCGACGGATTAAATTATGTAATTTCTAATGAAAAAATGTACTATATATATATAATTTATTATTATTATTATTATTATTATTATTATGCATCATCGATACACAACATAGTGATTTTTACTATATAAAACTTCTCCCTTCTCACTCACATCAAACTCATAATTGGGGACTTCAAGCAAGAGTTTGCGAAATTGGATTTTGGAATCCATACAAAAATTTGAGTTTCGATCTTTTATCTTGACCACATGATATATTCTCTATTTGTATTTTTAAAAAATAATGAAAATTTACTAATTTTCTCACAAGCTGGTACAATTCCACTTATTTTCTTCTTATTAAATGTTCACCTATAAATAGTGATTTTGAAAATGTAGAAAAAGAAAGTTTGAGGCAAACTCTTTTAATAGCATAACAATACATAATTAGGTAATATTTTAAGATTTTACAGTTAATTTAACGATGACACTTATAAGAATTTAATTAACAAAGATGTCCAAATGAATTTATATTCCGAAAATACAAAATCCTTGTTAATATATTACATGGATGACTTTTTTTCATGAGATTACCTCATTTCCTTTCTTTCCCCCCCCCCCCCCCTCATTCCCTTACTATCATCCCCTTCGTTCTACCAAAAACATATATTTTTGGTTGGTTTAAGGTGATTTCGCACAAAAAGCAAAAAATATTAATGTTTATAATTGGTCGAATTTCCAAGATTTTATTGTTCAGATTTTCGGCTAAAATTCCATTGAAAAGTCTTATTGCATGATGTTTACCAAAAAATAAAAAGTCTTGCTATATTATACATACATACATACGTAATGTACATTACCAGGAGCAAATTCCTATAATGAGTTTGTTACATACAATTTTATGACCAGACATAATGCAATTGGAAATAAAATCCTTGAAAAAGTATAAAAAAATCTTGAAAGCTGAAAATACAATCATGAACCTGTGAATACACTCGGAAACGTTGCAAAGTGAACTCAAGAAGTCAAATCTGCTTGCTATTTTTATCTGACAAGAGCAATGCTGTGCTTCATTATCGGCTTGATGTGGAGCGAGATGAACCACCGCGACTGCTTGCATTTGAATGATCTCTCTTCAGCAAGGCTTCCAGATTCTGGAAGCATTTCAATGGCCTAACCTGCACGTTACAAAGAGCAAGAACCAAACACTGTCAATGTTGCAATTCCTCCCCATGTTCTGTAATCAGCCCAATATGTTCAGATAAATTGAATACAGCACCGCCCTATTTTTTAATGCTAGAAAGATTTTCACTTGTTTCACAAGAATACAATTCTTGATCTGGAAAATTCAGAGATCATACAATTCTGTCCTGTCAGAATCCTATTAGCCACATTTGATTCTATTCTTTCACAAACCTTTTCTCCAAGTTTGCATCATTCTATTCTTTTATTCCTTTTATCGTTCCAGAAACATGTATAAACCAGTTTGCACATCATTTGACCCAAAAGAGAAAGAGTACTATTAGATATCTAACCAATGATGACTTTGATCAGTAAAATATGAAATATTTATAACCAGAGAATAAGCATTCAGTTCAGTCTACACAGTTTTGAACAGGCGTAGGCAAGGCCAAATATCTGGGGCAGGGAAGAGGGATGTAAGAGAGATGATAACCTTCCAACGTCTTTTTTGACCAATTGTGTTGTAGATAGACTCCAGCCTTGTTATTATTTGTCTAAATGTTGGCCTCTTTGCTGGATTCTCATTCCAGCACTCTTCAATCAATCTGTAAGCATATATCATTAGAGAGATCAGCAAAATGTAAATAACGTAACCAATCAAATATCAAATGAGAAAAGCAGAAGTTTGCAAATATATTATGTTAAATCAAAAGCATAGTTTGAAACTTCATGCTCAGACAACAAAAGGTTGCATAAAACATGCAATGTAACAAATAAAGTAGCAATATATGAGCCATGCATGCAATAGCCTAATAACCTCATTTGCTTGATTAAAGTTAGCATGACTTGCATTGTGTAGAGTGTGTTTAGTAAGTAACTTCAGTTAATTCATAACTTACTGGACTAGCTTCTAAACTTGTTTGACCAAAATAAAAATGTTTGATAAATGAGTTGGCTTCACTAACTTTTTAAGATTTTTATAAATGTTGTTTAAGTCATATTTGTGCTTATAACTAGAGCTTATTATTTTTTCATTAATACTACACAATTTATATATATATATTTTTTAATAAAATACTTGATCTTCGAACAAAAAGTGATTGCAGCTCAAAATAACTGGAAAACATAACTATAATTACCTAAAAACATTACAAAAAAATAGTATTTACATATAAAAAACATACAAGCATGTTCTTTTATGTCATTTTATATTTATTAACTACTTCAAAATCAAATTTTACCACCACTTTTAATTCAATAAACTAGCTTAAAAGTTTGCAGCTTTGGACTAAAAATTAACTTTTCAATTTACAACTAGTTTACTAGCCCTGATTTAAAGTTTATAGACATGAACATTGTTAAAAAATTTCCAACCAGATGGGTACAAAAAATATCAGAAAACTTATTAGCAAAAGGATTGTAGGTCACACATTAAGAGGAGGAAATAGTTTATCATCCTTTTATCTTTTCTCAAGAAAAGGAAATTGCTGGACAGGAATTATTACCCAAGAAACATAGAAGACTTACTCTCGAATACCATGGGAATAACGCTTGGCTGGAGCTCGGAAAGGAGGCCGCTCTTTTGCAGCATATACCTTAGGAACCTCGTCTTCTTGCTTTGCATAAAAAGGTGGGCAGCCTTCGATCATCTAAAACATAGCATATAAGAAACATCAACAATAACTACACCAAGTTAGGATCATAACATTCACACAAAAGCTATAATAACTCCCCAACACAAATAAGCATTACAGAAACTCAACAGCAGAAAAGCTTGCTATCATATTGTTGAAATTATTGGGTATTGATGGGATGGGAAAGAAGAGGAGTAAATCTTATTTAAAGGATTTTAAAATTTTGCACAGCTGATTTGCAAGGAAAAACAATGTTAGTTTAAAATGTTAATTAGGAACATGGTTTCCCGATGTTATGGACCATGTAGATGTCAGCTCAATTTGTAGCCAAGAAAGGTTTCATAATTCGTACAGCATATGGACATAAGAAAATAAAAAGGATCAACAACAACAATAATAACATTTCCATAAAATAGTTGTATGATATATAGCTTTTATTAGCTTTCCATTTGAAGGTGAAACATTAAAAATAGTTACCTCTTGCAGAATTAGTGCAAATGAGAATACATCCACTTTGGTATCATATTCTTCTTGTTTGAAAACTTCAGGAGCCACATAGCGGCCTATTGACAAAAATAAAAAACTTCCCAGCTTCAGAAAACTAGACATCGTAAAGCAGCATGTTAAAGTCCAGCACATGAAAAATGTCATAACAATCTCTTATGTCCTTAAGAATAAGAAAATACAGCATTTCAGATATTTAGATATTTCAAAGCGTGCATTAATAACAATTCTGAAGAATAGCAGCACCCACAGGAAGTATCTTGGCAAGTTAGAGGCTTGTCTTCCTTAACTGCCAGCAACTTGCTAACACCAAAGTCTGCAACTTTTAGGTATCCAGAATCATCCCGCAATATATTACTGTTAGCTTACTCATAAGCAACATAGATAGAAAGTGTAGACTGTATCAGACTATTAAACCATACAGAGTTCACATAAAAGAATAGAGGAAAAAGCAATGATCGAACAAAGAAACTTACGAAGGCTCAAGATCACGGTGAATAATGGGTGATGGCTTATTTTCATGCAAATAACCAACTCCCCTGCAAAATTCCAAATTAAAAAATAGTATTAAGTAACATTTAATAGACCAAAGACAAACATAAAATGGAGACAAGACGTGATTATTCATTAATCAAAACCCAATAAATGTCTCATCTAAACATAATTCAATAAATGAATTTGGAGAAATTGTGTTTAACAGGTTATGTAGATTTTTCTCCAGCAAGACTGAATTCATGAGAAATGTTAAAGCCACGAAACTCCTAAAACAAAATTCCGCATGACATGTAACCACCAAAAGGAAAACTGTTCAAGAACTTTCTTTGGAAATTATTTTGAAGGCCTTTGCAACAAAGTAATAACTTTTGTCTTTGTGGGTCAAACCGAATTGGCCACCTGGATCCAACACTATTTTGCTCAATCTACATCCACCCACATAAGTTAGAGGACAAATGGACTGAACATTACATGGCCCAATGGGTAATCCATAAATATGTATTCATCTATTTAACTACATAGTAAGAAAAAACTTACATTGTAAACCTTTAGCTTCTTATATTTTAATTTTTACCTCAATTTATGTCACTTTCAAGTTTCTCAAATGCTCTCTTCTCCTTTCTCCTATACTGGCACCACTAGCCAGTAGAGCAAGGAGTCAGAAGCCTTTTCTAATCTTCAAAACATACTTTCTCAGTTTCTCTCACCCTTTTGGCTATCTTTACCAATACCCCCCCCCCAAATTTTTACCCAATCCTTGCCAAATCCGTAGGATGATAATTCTCAGCAGCAAGATATAGAGGGATGAACTGTAGCAAGCTTAAAGAGATCTCCTATTCAATTCAAGTGATCATTTGAACACCAGTGCTTATGCCCCCCGCCCCCTCCTACCCCCAACACACACATACAGACAGTAATGGGATTAAGTGCTGCACCTGGACATCAGCAAAGTAAGCAGTGCATCTAAATAACCACTTTCAATTTCCAAAATTGAGCTCAACCCACATTGATTGAACCAAGAATACACCCATCTAAATATCAACACCAGAAGTGTCCATCGTCTAGTCATGATACCTATCCTACTCTATGATCTTCAAATTCCAATAGAATAATGTCAAGAGTCAAGATAGAACCAAAGCCAACTTTGATCTCTGACGTGAACCAAGGTTCACTCCTTCATATGATATATAAATAGACAAGATCCTGACAAATGGATCAAGGGTAATCATTACACAATAATCAAGCCACATCCAACCAAGTGGGGATGTAAAGTTGATCAGTGTCATAAAAGATTTGTAAAGTTTTCTATAATTTCCAAACACAACATTCCTCTCTTATCAAGCTTGAGAAAAGCTATGTAGGGTGTAGCCCAAAACAATGAACATGTAGTTCTCTCTAAAGCTAAACAGGTGATTAATAGAAAAATAGGTAGCTGACAACAACCCATCCATTATAATACATACAACAAAAAATTGGCATTGTTTCTAACCTGTGTTTCGTTATAATTATAACATTCATGCTATTCATCTATCCCAGAATTCAAAGTTAGAACTTAGATACTTTCACAATTCTCAGTTTCCATGCAAACATACAAGAGAAGGAAATCATGAGATAAGTCAATTTGAGAGCATAAAATATTGACAAATTTAATTCGAAAATATCCTAAATTTTCTGTACACTTTTCTCTATGTAGCTAATAACGACAACTTACAAGCACCAATCAAAATTCACACAAATTAAAAATATCCCCCTTGATTGAGAGAGAGCTGATTCTGAAACTCAATGTTGCAAACAGAAGAACCAAATTTAAAGCAACGCATGGGGATGTCAAATACCTAGCAATATCAAGTGCAAATCTCACTGCTGTTGATGGTTTCAAAGCTCCTTTTCTTTTCAAGAAATCACGAAGATCTCCCTACACAACATGGGGAAATAAAATCAAGAAAGAAACATTTTCCATCACATTATTGTTAAACTTTATCAAACAAGCATCCCAAGCAACGTGCAGGAAATCATGCTTCAAGCAATTGTAGGATGAAAAACCTTGGGAAGATATTCTGTCACAATCATCATCGGACTACTCTGGGTCACAGCACCCAGAAATTGAACTACATTTGGATGGCGGATCTTCTGGAACAGAGCAAGCTCATCTCTGAAAGCCTTCCTGTGAAAAGTCCCAAATATTAATTATTATGAAAGTATATGACAAATTGCAATAATCTCTGCAAAGTTTATGAGAAACTCACACTTTCTCCTCATCAGAAAGTACGTCCTCCCCAAGCTTTTTTACTGCAACCTCTGTCCCACCCCACAATGCACTACAGAAAGTCCCCTGCAAATCAAGGTAAGTTTATGTGATGCAAGAATCACTTAGAAGCAATGAAATTGAAGGGTCATTCAAATGAATAACTATGTACACACAAAACATTTCAAGTGAATCTGCAAGCTGAGTCTAGATACTCAACAGCAGTCAAATTCCATAAGAAACAAGAATTAGCCAGTTTCCCAACAATGGTGTTCCCAAGACATGGCAAAAAACAAATTTATCACTTACTGTACAAAGCAACCACAGCTTATAGCTATTAATAAAACTTACAAAAGTCATTAACTAGAGCTTAGAACAATAATTGAAAGGGGTTAAAAGAAACCAAATAAATGCATTTGTGTCATAAATCTAATGATGAACAATAAAAGAGAAGTAATTATAGAAAATCCTCAAGGTTTCTAAAACAAAATAATCTGAGGACAGACCAAACTGACTCTATAATAATAATAATAAATCATAACAAAGCTTTTACCTTTGATATATCCACACTGTTGGTAAAATCAAGCTCTTTAGGATTGATTTCATATTCTGGGACTTCACGTGCATGATTGACATGCATTGGGGCCATCTGAAACGGGCATAATACAAAAGCTAAAACTGATATGCTAAGACAAATAAATGCAACAACTTTACAATCCTAAAATCACACGCACCAGAGGCTTTGCTCCATGCTTCTCCAATAGCTTGATCACATCATTGTTTTTATAAAAAATAGCATCTGCAAGTGGCTGTTTGAGAGACATAAGATTAATAATCAGCCCAGCAATTACATATCTGATTTTAGTATTTTGACTTTCCAATATAATCAACACAGAAGACATAAACATTCATTACAGAATATAGAGAAGTGGAAAGGAGGAGCATGAAGACAAGACTATGGAAAAAGTTCAAAAAGAAACGTAATACATCTCAAATCTGCTCATCTATTCCTCAGGAATCAAACTAAGAAAAAGCACAATCACGTTATAACAGTTTAACACTTCAAGTAGAAGGAAACCTAGTACAATTTGCCGCACACAACCAGTAATAATTTCGCATTATTTATTATATCCTCATAATGTTTACTTCCATCATACAAATGTATCAAGCGGGCAAGTGCTAAGCCGACGTGCAACTGAAGTGTCTGTTTTCAACAATCAGATGAAAGTGAAACCACTCAGCAAAATAAATGCTAGTGCACGCACCAGTTCCACTTTAAGTTCAGAACAAACGACGGTAACCAAATGTTAGATCAAACTCTTTTTCGTAAGAACAGAAGCTAGCTTAAACTTGTTCCAAGAAACTCAGCCCTGAACAATTAGTCAACCACCCCACACAAAGTTCCATGATTAAAAACGTGCATAAAGTGCTTCTAACTCAATCTACAACTTTACATGCGATCATTTATTCAAAATTTCAATGTACAAAATGAATCCAAAGTCCAAACTACAAGATATAGCATTTGACTAGTCAAGCAATACTAAATCAAAGACAAACGACCCTAAAGGCCGAATCTATGGCAATGTTATTAATTTTGTCACACTAGAACATGTAAAATATCAACACAGAATCACTTATACTACAAAAAACAAATCAGAGATAATGAAAACATCGTAGTTACCGTGCTCCCCCATCGATCTTTAGGGTCAACCTCAGCACCATTTTGGAGCAACAAATCAACAACATCAGTGAAACCCTGACACGCTGCAACATGAAGAGCAGTGCGATAATCAATATCCCTGAAATTCACGCTCACACCCGATTCCAACACCTCACGGATACCATCAAGATCGCCTTCATTTGCTGAATACATCAACCTCACTCCTGGATCAACAGCGTCTCCATCACTTTGAAGCTCTGCTTCTTCGTTGCGGCGTTCTGGGGCCAGCGATGATTGCTTCCCCAGCGTAAACCTCGCAGGTTTTGATTCCATGGTGAAAACAAAAAACACCCCAGAAAGTGAAGATAAAAAAAGATGCGGTTTTGAATATTGGGAAGTTGAAAATTCTACAGGAAGAAAATTGGGTAAAGCTTGTTTTGAAGTTTTCCTTCCTAGTATGCCACTTGCGATCGATGTTTAGAAAGCGTAGTCCAGCGTGGGAATGTTTGAATTTGGAGAAGAAGAGAAGGTGTTGGCTTTTACGCGTTCATCTAAGCGCGTGACCTGTCTGCTGAAATGCCAGCGCACGCAGGTGAAGGTAACAGCAATCCGGCGCAGAGTAAGAGCCAGATCACTAACGTGCGCCGTGGCTGCGGATGCAATTGCCGACGTTGTTCTGTGTGATTCAAGATGATCTAGACCGTTGCTTTTGTGGAACATGGATAGTCCTCGATATTTCTTTTTCTTCTTACCCCAGTGTCGTTGAAATTTGAGAACTCCTTTTCATTATTTTTTTTGGTCAACTTTTAAAATAATTAAATATGATTAGCAAAAGGGAAAAAGAGAGTTGATTGGATGATCAATAGTAGAGAAATTTTGTCGATAACTACGGCTTATGATATTATTTCACAGATAATTTTAGCTTTTCTTTTCCTTTTCCTTTTCCTCGGTTTTTTATTTTTCTCTTCCTTTAAAATCAAATACACGTAAGGTAGAATTGTTTTGTTTCTTAAAATGGTTATAGACGTCATACACTGAAGTAGGGAATGTACCGTGTACTGCACGAAAATACGATCCCATTGCCATGGCTTTTTTATTTAATTAATATATTTTTAAAAATTATTTCTTATTTTTAGTTTTTAAAACTGAAAAACAGATTACTATTTAGGTGTTTTTGTTTTTATTTTTCTATTTTTCTCTCTAAAACTAACAAAATTTTAACTAAAAACAGTTTTCAAAACTAAATTTTAACTAAAAACAATAAATACATTTAACTTATATTTATTAAGTAAAAAAATTAAGATAAAAATTAATAAATTTTTAAAACCACTAATTAAGAAATTAAAATTAATCTACATTTTAGTTTTTATATTATAAAAATATTTAATAACTAAAAATACATGTTAATAATAATTTGTTAACATTTAGACTTCACTTTAATTACTATATATCAAGTTTTAAATAAATTAGCATAATTATATTCTATAAAGTTTCTAGCGATGTTGTACGACAATAAATATATGTAAATTGTATTTATTAAGTAATAAAAATTTAAGACAAAAATTAATAGATATTTAAAAAAATTAATTCAAAATTAAAATTTATTTATTTTTTACTTTTTATGTGATAAAAGTACTTAATAACTCAAAATAAGACATTAAAAATCTTATTTTTTAAAATAAGATTTTTATTTTAAAAAATATTATTAAAAATATTAAGATAGTTATGAATTTAAAAATATTATTAAAAATTATAAGATATTTATTTTAAATTCATAACTTAAAATATTTTTAAAATTTATAATTTTAAATATTTTTTAAAATTCATAATCTTAAATATTTTTTAAAATTCATAATCTTAAATATTTTTTAAATTTATAATCTTAAACTTTTAAATTCATAATCATAAATATTTTTTAAATTTATAATTTTAAATATTCTTAAATTTACAATTTTAAACTTTTAAATTCACGTCACTTGTTATTACTAAAACAAGTATCAATCTGAAACATGTGATACTAATTTAAAAAATAATAATGTGATAAAAAAAAAGTTCAGATAGATAATTTTATATATATACTTATAAAAGAAATAATTTTTAAAAATATATTAATCAAATAAAAAAGCTCGTTGCCATTGGTACTCAACAGGCCTTAAGGTTTTTTTCAATATATGAAATTTCATATTTAGAATTACTAAATATAATTTTTTAAAGAAAAAATTTATGAATAAGAGATCAATAACATATTTTAATGTTAGTAGGGTAACTAAAAAAAGAAAAAAAGAGTCACTTTTTAAACCTTAAATTTGATTAGTTTATACTAAAAAATTACTATTGGTTTGTTTAAATAAATAATTGTTATTGGCATTTTTTAGAAAGAAGAATCATTATTGGCAGTTTTTAAATCTTGATTTATATAACTCGTTGCCATCCTCTTTCTATATGTTGATTGCAAGTGTTTTCATTCATTAAGCTTTAATCAAAAAATGGTTCAAATATAACAATATATTTCAACTGTGAGATTTTATAAAAATGAGTAAAGACATGTTATTTACTATTTAGATACAAGAAATTATATATGTATATTCTATATAATATATTGTTTGAAGAAGTATTAAGTTAGTCAATATATTAAATTTGAGACTCTAAAAATAGTAGAGAAAATAATATATAACTGTTCAATTTTAATTTTTAATGATTTTATACCATGCCAAACAATTATAACAAGTAATAATCATACTTTTTAACAATTGTTTTAAATATATCAACAACGTTATACTCCGATTTCTCTTGTTAAGTTATATATTATTTTTTAAAAATTTTCAATTAAAGTTTATCAACAAGTTAATAATAAGGAGGAAGAAGCTGAGTTGAACATAAGTCTAACAGATAAATAGAATAGAAATAAAAAAATGTGCAAAGGGTGAGAATAATGTAGATGACTAACTCTTCATTTATCAAATATGATAGCTTGTTAACATTTATTTGGAGACTTGTAATTTATGCATACATCTAAATTTTTAAAATATGAAAACTTTTGTATCTCACGATTATAATTTTATTGTTGGTCAATTTGATTTTAGTTGTTTTAATTAGCTTATGTTTAATAGGTAGGTTGTTATGATACAAATTGGAAATTGCATGTTGGAATGCATATTAATAATAATAAAAATTGTTATACGAACAATTATGTGTTATACTAAAAAAAGAGTAGATTACAAACTATTTGAGTCTGAATAAAATATATTTTATTATAATGTAGTTGTGAATTATTCATAAAGAAGATGAAATTTACACAACATCATTAATAAGGACATAAATTATTTTTAGTTGACAAATTTAAACAACAAAATAAATTCACTATGTTATAAAATATAATATTTATTTCAAGGTCGTAATAGTCATCACATGTTACAAGTAAAAATAAAAAAAATATTTAATCACTAAATTATGAAATAAATAATAGATGATAAAAAAATTCAGGTTATATTTATTATATAATTAAAAATTAATACAAACGCTAATTAATAATTTGAAAATAACTTTTTTATTTTTATATTATAAAAATACTTAATAACTAAAAATACACGTTAATAATAAATTTTTTAACATTAATACTTCATTATAATTATTATATATCAAATTTCATGTAAAACAACGTAATTAAGCCGTATCAAGTTTTTAACTAATTATATGACAATAAATACATTTAACTTATATTTATTAAGTGAAAAAATTAAGATGAAAATTAATAAATTTTTAAAACCACTAATTAAGAAATTAAAATTAATCTACATTTTAGTTTTTATATTATAAAAATATTTAATAACTAAAAATACATGTTAATAATAATTTGTTAACATTTAGACTTCACTTTAATTGCTATATATCAAGTTTTAAATAAATTAGCATAATTATATTCTATAAAGGTTCTAGCGATGTTGTACGACAATAAATATATGTAAATTGTATTTATTAAGTAATAAAAATTTAAGACAAAAATTAATAGATATTTAAAAAAATTAATTCAAAATTAAAATTAATTTATTTTTTACTTTTTATGTGATAAAAGTACTTAATAACTCAAAATAAGACATTAAAAATCTTATTTTTAACATATCTACTTTATAATAATTACTATATATCAATAACTATTTTTTTCATGATAAATTTACTATCATTATAGAATAATATTAAAACTACGATATAAAAAAGTTATTAATATTTTTACCAGTGCAATAACTTATAAAAATAACATTAAATTATAATATAAAAAATTAACATTTTTATAATTAAAATAACTTACATTTAATACTATAATAATATGTAACTAAATACTTTTTAAGATTAAAGTGAATACTTTAATGGAACACTTTTAAACTTTAATTTAGTTTTATAATATTATGTTGTTGATTAAAATTATTTTTTAATTTTAATTAATCACTCAATAATTAATTTTATAAAGAATCATAATTAATAAGTTAACAAACTAAGAGATAATTTGAATTTAAAGTTACAAGGATTAAACTTTTTTCTAATCTTTTAATCAATTAATTAAATTTAATAAATTTTATGCATGTTAATATTTTTATTTATTTGTTATTATCTATGACCATTAAAGTATTACTTATATAAGAGAGTGTTATTATGATAATTAAGTAATAATAATAAATAATTAAATTATTAGTAATTATAGTAATATAATTAATTAAAATTGAATTAGGATACAGGTAATCACACTAAAAAAATTAAAGTCTTAAACTTTCATTCAAATAAATATACTTTGTAATTTTTCTGGGTTTTATTTTCTTTGATTTGTCAAATTATTTTAATTCTTATTTTTAATTCAAAATTTTTTAAATTCACTTAACATTCAAGGATATTAGCAGTAAGTTTTTGTAAGCATAATTTCTATAGAAATAATATTGAAAGGATGTAAAATATTTTTTTTATAACAATTGACATGTATACTTACTTATAGGTTGAAAAAATTTTAGAGTATTCAAAACCTGCAACAATATACAATAATAAATTTAAACTATTTTTTAAAAAGTATACTTATACAATCATGAAAAATAATAAAACATGTTCTTAAAAATAATAATATGATAAATTTTAAAAAAATATTATGAAAAATAGTTAAATACTATAATTTTATCAATATATAATAAAACATAGAGATAAACACTAAAGTTGATACCTCTTTTGACAGAAATTAAATATGTAATTTTGAAAATGTAAGTATGAGAATGAATATAATAATAAATTGATAAAAATAAATAAATATTATACGGAGTAATGTCTTATTCAAATATTCAATTAAACTTTATCCTAAAAATAACTTAAGAATTTCTAGATTTTTAATATAACTGCAATGCCGTTTGAACTCATTAAATCCAGATATTCAATGATCCTTATATTTGAGAGTAAAATAGTATGTGTTCTTTAAGTTAATTAGATTACTCTTAAAAGGCACGAAACTGAAATTAAA